GGGCCTTTCCACTATTGTGTGCAGGCCAAGTTTAGCTCAATTGAGGGGGCCATTACTAATCACGAGCTCACATTGAGGAGCATTGTACAGCGAAAGCTGGTCGAGCAAAACGAGATCCGAGATCCATGCAGCATCTGGAAACAGTGCTCGGGGAATCTCCGGCAGATGTAACTTGCAGATGCTCATCTCGGACTTCATGCAAAAACGCTGCATAGGCATAGGCTAGACACAGACCAGGCGGCACTAACGACCCCCGTGGTCCGTAAAAAAATCGAGACTGTTGCAAGTTTTAGCAAGTACAAGCACTTCGAGGGGAGGGCGCCGGCGATTCTTGGAGGAAGCTTCGGCTCCCAAGCCAGCTCTCGTCGGAGAGGTCGTCAAAGATCTTGCAGTCTAAGAAAGAGGAGAGCTCTTCTGATTCCGTGCCTTGCAGACTGTCGAGATCTTTCGGAGTCCTCTCCATGCGCTCCTCTTGCCTCAGTCCATCTCCGAAGAGCGGCGTTGGGCTTTCACCCCCAAAAAAAAGTTTGCTGATTTGGGCATCTGTAAGTCCTTAGCATGAAAAGGAGAACTTAGAGAAAAAAGAGGCTGAAGCAGGGAGTTGCGAGCTATACCACAAGGCCGGGCCATGAGACCTCGCGCGTGCATGCCGCAACTTATCTCGACCTGCCATGAGCACCGACAGAGATGTGGTCTTCTCAACTTCGTCCGACTGTAGCTCTGTCGGTGGCAGCACATTGATGGTCCATGAGCCGTCTGAGGTGGTGTGGGCCCTTGCCTGCTCTTTTGGGCAGTCACTGTCCAGCTCCGATTCCTGAGCTCAGCACCACCCTCGAGCCTCACACAGAAATTAGTCTGAACCAACCCCGACGACGGACACAAACGGTAGTCCCTAAACCCACCCCTAAACCCCTAAACCCTAAACTAAACCCCTAAACCCCTAAACCTAAACCCCTAAACCCGTAATCCCCTAATCCCCTAATCCCCTAAACCCCTAAACCAGCCTCAGCACCAGGTTGATGTGCCGC